TGCTAGGCAACCCAGGTGACACTAATGCAGTTCCTCTTCTAGACATGTGCAGCACTTGGTGTGGGAGGCACCAAGCTGAATGTAAAGCACCTCCCCCCACCCCCAGCAGCCTATGATGCAATAAAAAGATAGGCCACAAAAGGAAATTCTTGGCTTCATGGAATATTTGAAATTTCTGACTGGTCAATTGACAATAACGGTATTTGACCAATCCTACTTTGTAATTGTGCCAGGTTAATTCATCTAATTTTTAAGATATTCCTCCAAGTCAGAATGGTCTCCCTTGAAATTCCTTTGTCTATATACACAGTACTGCTTTCATGCAAATCCATCATCTGTTCATGTTTGACATACCATCAGACCAGACATGATCTGCCCAACTCCATTACTTGAAAAAAAGTATTTATGGACCCAGCTGGCCGCCTTGTGTGGACACGCTGGCCAGCACTGTCATAATTTAGTTATGTAAAACATCCTGGCAAGTTCACAACTCTCTGCAAGCCTGGGAAGATGCGTGCTGTTCTTAGTAAAGGAATGAAATGACTATGACTTCCCCAGGTCCCTTTAATTGGATATGACTTCAGTGGAGATACTGCTTGAGGCAGTGTCCAGGCAAAGCAGGCAAGGAAGCTAGCAACACCTGACAGGCTATGGCTTCGCCTAAGGAGATGATTTATCTATTCCAAAATTATCACCATAGTAACGTGCTTTGGGTCAAAACACCCAAGTAAAGGAATATGGAGCTACTTCCTAGAGCAGCTCACAGGCATGCACTGTGGAAGCCACAAAGGTCAACTAAGATTTGTTTCTTTTGTGCACACTCTGGTGTCCGCATTGCATCTCCAGGGGACGCTCAAACAAGCAATTAGGAAATGAAGAAGTGCAGAGAAGGCTCATCAGGCAAAGTGCTTTATTAAACATAGGTATGAATAACTAACTCTAAACATGGCATGGTCAGAAGTTCCTGTAGAAGAGGAAGAAGGCCTTTGGTTTAGTCTGGGATAGAAGAATGAGGGTCAGTTCCCTGCTCCACCAAATGAAGTGTACAATGGTGCTCAAGTCACTGAAGCCTCTTTTCCCCCCCATCTGTAAAATGTAGATAATAACACTGAGCTTCTTCCCAGGGGTGTTGTGAAGCTCCATACACTAATGATCGCAAGGCTCTCACATGCAGTGGTATCCAAGATAAACTGCTAGATAGAATTAGTACCTTCTGTTAACACTGCGTATGAAAAGCTGCTGGCCAACACCTCTGGAATGATTAGCTCGTTGCAAGCCATAACAATGGGAGGGTAAACTATAAAAGAGTTTGGCAGCACCCCTGAAGGGTAACTGATTCAGAATTCTCTCACCATTTTCTCACTGCATCAGAGAGCAAGTCTGTACAGCAATTTTGGTATTTAGATTACAAAACCAGCAGTGCAGTTAATTTGACCTAATACTTTTTTTAAACAAACCTGGAGATTCACTTAAGACACCAACTCACTGGAGAAAAATCTTTCTGCCTTCATCAATGAGAAGGCAGAAAAAGAGCATGAGGAACAGAACATACCAAAACAATGCAGGATTAGAGAGAAGACACTAGCATTATGATCACTACAGTTCCCGGGCTGCACAAACTCAAGTGTTTATTTTCCAACTCACACCCATCCCCTGCCTCACACAAAACCCAGGTCTCCCATATTTGTTTCAATTCTATTCCTCATCACATCAATCCCAGAGGCTGGGCTCATCTCTCTCTTCTGTTGACTGTGCTGTCATATGGTAAAAGTGTCTTCCCTTCTGTGTGCAGTCTGGATATGTCACACCTTCTCCCTTCGGAGGGAGGTGCTTGCCTGATGAGGCCAACCTCTGAATGAAGGGGGAAAAAAATGGTGGGTTACCCAAACAGAGGCTATGACTGAAGATGGCAATAACTGCTGAGAAGAGTTAGGAGGCTGTGAAATTGTAAACCCAAGTCAGTAGGTATCCACTATCCAGGAACCTGAGTCAAGGGTCACAGGCAGATCTCAAAGCCAGACTACATTCAAGTGCTCTTAGGGTTCATTGTGAACGTTCTGCATGGATCTCTCTTGCTCCCTAAAGCTGTTTCCATAAGCTAAAAAAAAACACGACACGGGTCTGCTCCTGAGAGACAAGAAGCCTGCATGCTAGAACTGCATGTTTGCTGTAGCAAGTGCTAAGAAGGGTGTTCCCAACAGACTTCAGTCAATGCAACAAGGATTATCTGAATTAACCTAGTGAGGTGGAACAGCCTGGTTACAGTTCTATTTTATGTTTTACTCAAAGACACAAATTGCCATGTTTACTCTTTGTATGCTGCATCTCAGAGAAGCCTCTATTCTTTTGCTACTACAATAAGGGACAAGGGGTATTATTTTCTCCTGCTTTGTGTTTGTACAAAGCACTTCTCAACACATCAGCACTGTACAAGATTTTAAATAAATAGGTGATTTAAAGATAATCTGACAGGCTACAAAAGCACAGTCAGGCCCTACACAAGGCTCTAAACCCTATTCACTGCAGCCTGCAGTAGCAAGGGGCAGATGGACCAGACAACTATCATCTCTCATTTGCTTCTGAGCAACACATATTGCTCTCATAGTGCCATAGAAAGAGATTTGATTATTCCCCCCAGAAAGTTTGCTACTAGTCTGAAAAGAAGAAATTTAAGAGAGCCTGCACATGTTCAGAGTTTGGAAAGCTATATATGTCATTAGTAGGGGTGCACTGATAGAGATTGTTGGGGCCAATACCGATAGCTGATTTTTAATGAGGCATATTAGCTGATACTGATCTGATTTCCAATACCAGTCTGGCAGCTTGGAGAACTGCGTACAGCTGGTAAGTCTGGCGTGCTGGAAGGGGAGGGGGAAAGGGAGATCAAGGCCCCTGCGGTGAAGGAGGAGTGGAGCTGGGGCTGTGGCAAGCGCTGCCCAGTCAGGGACAGAACCGTGGCTCATCTGGGGGGCACAGGGGGCCAACTCCCACTGCTGCATGCCACTTGTGCAGGAGCCACTGCTTCTGCTGCTTGTCCGGGAGGGCATGGGCGGCAGGGGTGTGCCCCCAGATCTGCACGGGGCCAGGGCTGCACCAAGCTCTTCTGAGCAGGATGGGGCTGGAATTGGGGTGGGCAGTGATGGTGATGGAACAGGGGGGAGGAGGGGCTGCAGCCACCCCAAAATTTGCTGTAGACCCCCATCCCCCGTGCCGCTGCCATTTGTCCCGAGTCCAACCCGCCCTGCCAAGAAGAGCTTGGCACAGCCCTGGCCCCATGCAGATCTGGGGGAACACCCCCCACGCCCTCACGGACGAGCAGCAGAAGCCGCCCAATGAGTGGGCGAGATGAGCTGCCAAACCAGCGGCTCCTGCATGAGTGGTGTGCAGCGGCGGGAGCTGCTGCCCCCCCAGACGAGCCAGGGCTCTGCCCCATACCAGCTGGGCAGTGCTTGTCCCAGCCCCTACCCCAGCTCCACTCCTCCCCCACTACAGGAGCCTTGATCTGCACCCCTCCCCCCCACCACATACCCCTTCCCTTCTCCCTCTCCCATCCCCTTCTACTACACCAGACTGACCAGCTGCATGCAACTCTCCAAGCTGCCAGACAGTGCTCCTCACTGCCTACATGCTGCACTGCGGCTGCATGCAAGCACGGGCCATTTACGGCCAAAGCAGGCCAATTTCCAATACAGACAATTTTCTTTATGTCAGTGCCAATCTGATATCGGACTGATTTATCAGGGCCCCTCTAGTCATTAGCTTCTCTTATCTGCCTCTGGAAAAGTCTTTAATCAGAGTCGGTACTGGAGACAGTGGAAAAGCAATTTCTCACTACAGCACCACCTGGAAACAATCTAACAAGTCTGTGAGATGACTGCCACCTGGTGCTCAAAGAAGTAACTGCATTTACTTCTAGGTGCCTACTTCAAGGTACCTAGGCAGAGAAATTCAATGGATAGTATAATTAAAGGAAGTCAGGATAAGTAGACCTGAAATCTGACCTTATGTCTACTTACAAAGTCTTATTCTTTACGTTTTATTCCTCAAATACTTTTTTAAAGTATCAGCAAAGAATCAGTGACAGCATATTAACAACTGACAATTATGCTTCATATTTTTATAGTGCTTTACTATTCCAAAGCACTGCACAAACATTCTGAAACAGCTCTACAATAATAAATAAGCATTCTTGTAGTGTAGAGGAAAAAGTGAATACACAGACTGCAGCTTCATGCTTTGGTCTGCAGTGGCTTTATTATAAAAGACTACATTTGAAACATTACAGAAGATAACTTGGCTATTTTTTTAAGATAGCTCAAGCAGTTTTGTGGCTCACAGGGCTTTTCAATGTTATCAGCACAGGTTAACATCACCCAAAAATCCACTCAGCATGAAAATACTGCTGCAGGTCTCATCACAGATAGTCAGAGGATGCCCAGGCTGACATTTGTTCTGTTCCCTGTTCTGTATAAGAGACATTCTAATACAACTAGAGCCTTCTGTGAAACCCGAAGTTACTCAGACTAACCAGGCTCTGAGGACATAACTGGTGGTAGAATGGGGTCAATTTATTCACCTACATAGGTTTCAAGTGCAGCACAGAAATGAGACAAGAATTTAGCCTAAGAGTTCAAGTTCCGAGGAAACCCGACATAAATGAATGTACTTCTGTCAGACTCCCCTGCCTGTGCTCTCTTACGCTTCTAGATGCATACAAATAAGGCAGTGGCTGTTTTCCATGCTGGAAGCGATCAGAAACATGATCACACTCTGGACACAAACTTTCATATCAGAAAGACTTGAATTTTTGGTTACAAAAAATACTTTCTGATAACTGTACTTTAGTTTCAACCAACTTGCCCCAAATATCAGTTTAAAATAAACCACAGGAAATTTCATTCATGGAACTAAGACCTATCAAAATGCATCTCTTCCAGTCAAGCAAGAGCTAAGAATAAGGATAGCTGACATGTTATTTTAATACAACTGCTATTACTCACCTCTCCTGAGATTGGATTGGTCCCATATTTCTTTATCCAAGGAACAATACTTCTGCAAGATGAGGGGATAAAGCAGTAAGTAACACACACAATTAGAAATCTGTGCTCCCTATCAACTGGAATCTTTATCCTCTCTCCAACTGTCTTTAAAATCCCTACTGCACAGTAAGAGAGGGGCTTTCCAAGCACAGATTTTGTACTGCATCTTGCAAAGCATCACGAGTGCACCCACTCTTCCTATAACAAAAATAAAAAAAGTGACCAGCATACACTACACACCATATAAAAATTTAATTTTCTACTGCTGAGCAAGCAGAGCTGTTATATACCTCAAGAGACTTTTCTCAATACTATTTAATGATGGCTCATGCTGGTATAGAACCTGTGTATGAATGATGCCCTTTTTTAAATGAGGGATAAAGATGTTTCTTTACATGCTAATTTTGCATTTGCTTCTTCTTACTGTAATTTAAAAGCAATGAGTATACTTCTGCAGAACAGAAATGGAACGTTCAGTGACCAAACAATATCAGAAAGGGAACAAACACATTTTTAGTATTTCTAAGAATCAGTCTTCCAGCACACATAACATACCAAGATACAATGGTGCTTCTGCATGCTGAAAATCCCATGTATTAAGGGTCTCCTAATCCTTCCACATGCATGTTCCCATACCATATTCCTAGACTAGTAGTCCATGACCAACCCAGGAATTTCAAAGACTATACAGCATCATGAAACCACCTGTGGCAACAAAGGCCTCTGACAGACATGGGGAAAAAAAGGCGCTTTATTTTCAGCTTGGTACATCCCCACACCAAGTGCTGCACATGCCCAGAAGAGGATGTGGGGAGAAGTGGGCACACTAGAAGAGAGACAGGCTACAACTAGATTTGGACAGGTTACAGAGGTGGGCGGATGAGAATAGGATGGGTTTCAATACTGACAAGTGCAGGCTACTGCACTACTGCACCTAGGGAGGAAGAACCAGCAGCATACCTACAGGCTGGGGAACTCCCTTCTTGTCAGCACAGAGGCAGAAAAGGATCTTGGATGAACTACTGATTCCAAGATGAACATTGGGCACCAATGTGGGGATGCAGTCAGGAAGGCTAACCACACCTTGTCATGCATCCAGAGATGCATCACAAGCAGATCCAAGGAGGTGATCCTCCCCCTCTATGCGACATAGGTCAGGCCACAGTTGGAGTACTGCGTTCAGTTTTGGGTGCTGCACTTCAGGAGGGATGTGGACAGCATTGAGAGGGTCCAGAGGAAGGCCACTCACATGATCAGGGGTAGCAGGGTAGGCCCTATGAGGAGAGGCTATGGGACCTGAACCTGTTCAGCCTCCACAAGAGAAGGCTGAGAGAGTATCTGGTGGCTGTCTATAAACTTGCCAAGGGGGACAAGCAGGCAATGGGAGAGTTCCTGTTCCCCCAAGCACTACGGGCAGTAACGAGGAATAACAGCCATAAGTTGACTGCAAGTAGATTCAGGCTAGACATCAGGAAGCACTACTTCACAGTCAGGGCGGCTAGGAGCTGGAACCAACCTCCAAGGAAAGTGGTGCTCGCTCCTACCCTGGGGATCTTCAAAAGGAGTCTAGACAATCACCTAGCCGGGGTCGTTTGACCCCAGCATTCTTTCCTGCCCATGGCAGGGGGTCAGACTTGATGATCTACTTAGGTCCCTTCCGACCACACCAACTATGAAACTACAACAGTTTGACCTCGCTCGCCTAGCATCTATATAGATCAGATGCTTCAGCAGGGCTTTTTGGTGTTTTTTATCTAATAACTGATTCAACCACCTATTAGATAAAAGCACCAAAAAGCCCTGCAGTAGTATGCACACTATATAGACACTGGGTCAAACTGACACAGTTCCTCTTCCAGTAAAGCTCTGTTTTTTCTTTCCCCCCCCCCCCCCCCCCCACATCTGTTAGTGCTCAGGCAGCATACTGCTACAGCTTAAAAACACCATGCATATAAAACCAGTAGTAGTCTACCACACATGTCTGCAACAGAAATAAAGCTTTATGAGGGGGGAGAGAGAGAGGGGTATTGGCTAGAATCCAAGCACTGAGTTGGGGGGGAGGGGAGGAGAGGAGAACATGAACTTCTGAGTGTCTAGCTTCAATACCAATTCTGACCATAACCTTGAACAAGTCCCTTAGGTTACGCAAAGCTTAAACAAGGTAAAAAGGGTACGACTTACAGCAAGTCAAAAACTGTTCCATCTGGTGTACAAACTGGATATTCAAATGGCTGCAGGGATAAGCTAGGAAAAAATACATGCGTTTCATGTTAATCAACTGGAAAAAGCATACTAATAAGTTAGTAACACCCTCATTCACTATCTGTACACTAAACTCAAGTCTCCATAAATGAAAATATCTGCTATCACTCTGCATGCTGACTCAGTAGGATCTACTTATATTTAATCTTGGTTTCTTTCACTCTGGCATCACTATATCTTCTCACTGGGCATGCCTACACATGCTCCTAGGTGTCATTGTTACTAAATGATGGTGCAGTAACAGCACCTACTGCGCCGTGCCAATGATGCAGTTCTTTTTAGCTGCTACATCGTTGTAGCAATGCGCTATACCAAAGGAGCGCATTGCTACGACGGGCGACGTAGCTGTGGCATCATGGTTTTTGCCCACTGACGCTACACCACCATAGCACGCTGCTATGGCAACGTAGCATCACATGTAGATTGCGAAGTAAATTCTAATCACAAAATAACCCAAACATGAAAATTTCTAGCAAATTAGTCACTGGCTGTCAGAAAGAAATGGCAAACTAAAGATCTAAATATAAGGCATGGTTGAAGCATCAAGTCCAGATCAGGACGACAGTAAAAGCAAGATTTTTTCTGATTGTTGCATGAAAATTCTTTCTAAGTTTTTATACACTATATGCCCCTTTTCAATTTCACAGTCATCATAAACTCCACATGCAAATCATTATACAGTATTGACAATTTCATTCCTGGCTCAAAATTTTTTTAACGTCCTACTAAAAAATACTGGAGCAAACACAAATCAGTGAAAGTAACTGTTACACTAGGAAACATCATCTGATTGACAATTTAAAAATAAGTCATTTTGTGTCTCACCTGCAATGATCAAAAGATAAGCGTCTAAAATTAGTTTGTGGAATATCTGTTTGCAAAAAACATAAAACATTTTTTTTTAATGAATAAATAGTCATTTGAATATTTAACAGCTCTTCAGACATTTTTAATCAACCCTACATGATACATGTTTGGAAGCCACAGTATTTGGTACATCTGGTAATAATTCATAGGTAACAAAAATAATCATTCCAAATCCTGCAAAACTATAAACAAGTCAACACTTTGTAAATCAGTATCTTTGGAGCTTCAAGTCTGCTCTAAAAATGACAGTATGCAAATGAATAAAGCCCAACATTTCAAATAGCTCCAGATTTATCTTTATTCCCTTTCCATTTGTTTGTGGTTTTGTATCATGTTACCTCATTTTTAAACTCACTCCCTTGTTGCTGTTTTAAAAACCCAAAGACCAAAAGAATTTGACTTATTATTAAGAAGAAACACTGAAATTGACAATATACCAAATGCTATCAGATTCACGATGTATACAAGTTTGGAGAGGACATTCCAAACACAAGTGGTAGCCAGAAGGAGAGAAATGTCTGTGAAAAAAGGATACAGAAGAGGCCTTTCTACTGATATTACTTGCAAAGATGGCTACAATAAGCAGAGGAAAGCAGAAACTGGGCTCAATGCCAAGAGTGAAAAAAAAAATTAACAGAGACCATAAAATCAGTAAAGAAAGCCAAAATTGGAATATGGGGGTGATGTGGTTGAGGTGTGGACATTTTGGAATAGGAGAAGATACTTGTAGATGGGAGATACTGGGCATGTCTACACAAGATGTTTACTGTGGAGTTGCTTAATTAGCTCCACAGCAAATGTCTTGGTGTCTACACGTGTGGCCTATTAGGCTGCAGGAAACTAATGAACTCCACAGCAGGTTAGTACTTGTAAATACAGGTACTATCCTGCTGCAGTTTTTTTGTAAGCAACAATGCATCTGTAGATGCTGACCCGGCTGGCTAGGGCATGAGGGTGCTTTAGTGCAGGGGCTGCCTACTGGCTAGCCCCACACTGGAGCATACTTGTGCTCCTGCCAGCCCCTCTGCAGCATGTTGAGCCAGATGGGAGCAGGCCCAGGCTGGCAGGATGACCCCCCTGAGCACCCTGCCAGCCAGGGCTGCTCTGGTCTGGCTCAACCTTCTGAGGTCCTGGGCACACATTCAAACAGCAGGCCTGGGAGGAATAAACTCCTGTGCAACATGTGTTGGAGTTTATTGCTATGAATTAAATGTGCATGTAGACATGCCCACTCAGGCCATGGACAAGCAATTTAGTCGAAGGACAAAAAAAAGGAAAGTAAGAGGAGGAAAGAATGGCAAGGCTTGGACAAGACTGATTTCTGAAGAGAGAAACAGGTTGGAGTTAGAGAGATATCCAGGCAGCTGGCATCAGGAACTTAGGATAACTGGGAAGAAGACAACCACAGATGAAAACATGGGAATTGCAGAGGATTTAGGAGGAATTTACATCTACCCATGTTGAAAAGGCAGTGAATTATCCAGGGTGGTCTAACAGAAAGAAGGAAATGCAAGACTGAGGCACAGGAGATGAGCAGTGTGAAGAACCTGAATAGCAACAATAAAAAGGCGACAGCTAACTGCACAGCAGCATGAGGAAACCAGGCAAGAGGGTATAC